ACAATGGATCGATGAATAAGTTAAGAAAGAAATTTTTAAAATTCTTTAAATAATAAAAACTCAACATACGAAAACCTATGGGATACAGTGAAAGCAGTACTAAGGGGGAAATTTATAACTATAAAAATGTATATCAAAAAAAGTAAAACTTCAAACAAACAACCTATTAATGTGCCTTAAGGAAGTAGAAAATCAATAGAAAACCAAACCTATAATTAATAGAAGAAAAGAAATTTAAAAGATCAGGCATAAACAAATAAAATTCAATAAAAAAATAGAAATATCAATAAAATGAAAAGCTGGTTTTTTGAAAAGACTTTTAAAAATAGACAAACCTCTAGTCAGATTAACTACTTAAAAAGGGGTAGACTCAAGTAAATAAAGCCAGAGGTGAAAACAGAGACATTACAACTGATACCACAAACATTTAAAGGTTGATTAGTGAGTACTATGAGAAACTATATGCCAATAAATTGGAAAATCTAGAGAAAAATGAATAAATTCCTAGACACATACAATGTACCAGGACTGAACCACGAAGAAATTCAAAACCTGAACAGACCAATAATAATAACAAGATTGAAGCCATAATAAAGTCTCCCAGTAAAGAAAAGCCCAGGACCCAATGACTTCACTGCTGAATTCCACAAATATTTAAAGGGGAATGAAACTATTCTGAAAAATAGATGAGAAGGGTATACTTCCAAACTTATTCAGCAAGGCTAGTATTACTGTGATATCAAAACCAAAGAAAAGACACATCAAAAAGGAAAGCTATATGCCAATATTTCTGATGAATATTGATGCAAAAATTCTCAACAAAATACTAGCAAACTAGTGTCTACAATACATTAGAAAGATCATTCATCATGACGAAGTGTGATTTATCTCTGGGACTCAAGGATGGCTCAATATATGTAAATCTATCAATGTGATAAATCATATCAGCAGATTTAAGGACAAAACCATATGACCATTCCAATTGATGCTGAAAAACATTTGATAAAATTTGGCATGTCTTCATGATAAAAGCCTTAAAAAAAAAAAAACAAAAAACTGGGTTTAAAAAGAATATACCTCAACACATAAAAGCTGTATATGACAGACCAATCTATGGTATTATACCAAATAGAAAAAAAATTGAAAGCCTTTCCTACAAGAGCTGAAACACATCAAGGATACAAACTTTCACCCTATTATTCAACGTATTATTGGAAATCTTAGCTAGATCACTTGGACAAGAGAAAGAAATAAAGGACATCCAAATTAGAAAGAAAGAACTCAAATAATCCTTGTTTGCATATGATGTGATCTTACATTTGGACAAACTTAAAGACTTCACCAAAACACTGTTAGAACTGATAAACAAATTCAGTAAAGTTGCAGGATGCAAAATCAGCATGCAAAAAATCAGTAGCATTTATATATGTGAACAATGAGCACTCTGAAAAAAAAAAAAAAGTAGTAATCCCATTTGAAATAGCCACAAATAAAACTAAATACCTACAAACTAGCTAAAGTGAGTTCTCTAAAATGAGAACTATGAAACACTGATGAAACACTGATGAAAGAAATTGAACACACGAGATGTAGAAAAATATTTCATATTCATGGATTGGAAGAATAAACGATGTTAAAATGCTCACACTACTCAAAGTCATCTACAGATTCAATGCAATCCATATGAAAATATCAATGGCACCAGCTCCTATTTGTACCTCTGGTAGAATTCGGCTGTGAATCCGTCTGGCCCAGGGCTCTTTTTGGTTGGTAGGCTATTAATTACTGCCTCAATTTCAGAACTTGTTATTAATCTATTAAGGGATTTGGCTTCTTCCTGGTTTAGTGTTGGGAGAGTGTATGTGTCCAGGAATGTATCCATTTCTTCTAGATTGTCTAGTTTATTTGCATAGAGGTGTTTATAGTATTCTCTGATGGAAGTTTGTATTTCTGTGGGATTAGTGGTGATATTCCCTTTATCGTTTTTTATTGAGTCTTTTTTATTCTTCTCTCTTTTCTTGTTAGTCTACCTAGTGGTCCATTTATTTTGTTAATCTTTTCAAAAACTCATATCCTGGAATCATTTATTTATTTGAAGGGGTTTTCATGTCTGTGTCTCCTTCAGTTCTTCTCTGATGTTACTTATTTCTTGTCTTCTGCTAGCATTTGAATTTATTTGCTCTTGCTTTTCTGGTGCTTTTAATTGTGATGTTAGGGTGTCAATTGTAGATCTTCCCAGCTTTCTGCTGCAGGCATTTTAGTGCTATAAATTTCCCTCTTAACTCTGCTTTAGCAGTGTCCAAAAAATTCAGGTACATTGTCTCTTTGTTCTCACTGTTTTTTTTTTTTTTTAATTATTATTATTATGCTTTAAGTTCTAGGGTACATGTGCATAATGTGCAGGTTTGTTACATATGTATACTTGTGCCATGTTGGTGTACTGCACCCATCAACTCGTCAGCACCCATCAACTCGTCATTTACATCAGGTATAACTCCCAATGCAATCCCTCCCCCCTTCCCCCTCCCCATGATAGGCCCCGGTGTGTGATTTTCCCCTTCCCGAGTCCAAGTGTTCTCATTGGTTTTAAAGAACTTTTTTATTTCTGCCTTAATTTTGTTATTTACCCACTAGTCATTGAGAACCAGGTTCAATTTCCATGTAGTTGTGCTTTTTTGTGTGAGTTTCTTACTCCTGAGTTCTAATTTGATTGCACTGTCATCTGAGAGACTGTTTATTATGATTTCTGTTCTTTTGCATTTGCTGAGGAGTGTTTTACTTCCAATTATGTGGTCGATTTTAGAATAAATGAGAAGATGTATATTCTACTGATTTGGGGTGGAGAGTTCTATAGATGTCTATTAGGTCTGCTTGGTCCAGAGCTGAGTTCAAGACCTGAATACCTTTGTTAAATTTCTGTCTCATTCTGACATTGGGATGTTAAAGTCTCCCATGATCATTTTGTGGGAGTCTAAGTCTCTTTGTAGGTCTCAAAGAATTTGCTTTATGAACCTGGATACTCCTGTATTGGGGGCATACATTTTTAGGATTGTTAGCCCTTCTTGCGGTGTGGATCCCTTTACCATTATGTAACGCCCTTCTTTGTCTTTTTTGATATTTGTTGGTTTAAAGTCTGTTTTATCAGAGACTAGGATTGCAACCTCTGCCTTTTGTTGTTGTTGTTGTTGTTGTTTTGCTTTCCATTTGTTTGGTAAATATTCTTCCATTCCTTTAATTTGAGCCTATGTTGGTCTTTGCATGAGAGATGGGTCTCCTGAATATAACACACCAGTTAGTCTTGACTGTATTCAATTAGCCAGGCTGTGTCTTTTAATTGGGACATTTAGCCCATTTACATTTAGCACTAACATAGTTATGTGTATATTTGATCCTGTCATTGTGATGCTAGCTGGTTATTTTGCACATTAGTTGAAGCAGTTTCTTCATAGTGTCATTGGTGTTTATGTTTTGGTGTGTTTTTGCAGTGCCTGGTACCAGTTTTTCCTTTTCATATTTAGTGCTTCCTTCAGGTGTTCTTCCCCTCCTTGTAGGGCAGGTCAAAAGCAAGCAATGGAGAAAGGATTCCCTATTTAATAAATGATGTTGGGAAAACAAGCTAGCCATATATAGAAAACACAAACTGAATTCCTTCCTTACAGCTTAAACAAAAATTAACTCAAGATGGATTAAAGACTTACACATAAAACCCAAAACCATAAAAACCCAAGAAGAAAACCTGAGCAATACCATTCAAGACAGAGGCATAGGCAAAGACTTCATGACTAAAACACCAAAAGCAATTGCAATTAAAGCCAAAATTAACAAATGGAATCTAATTAAACTTAAAGACCTTCTGCTCAACAAAAGAAACTAGCATCAGAGTGAACAGAAAGCCTACAGAATGGGAGAAAAAATTTGCAATGTGTCATGAAAAAGGCTCATCATCACTGGTCATTACAGAAATGCAAATGAAAACCACAATGAGATATCATCCCATGCCAATAAGAATGGTGATCATTAAAAAGTCAGGAAACGACAGATGCTGGCAAGTATGCGGAGAATTAGGAATGCTTTTACACTGTTGGTGGGAATGTAAATTAGTCCAACTGTTGTGGAAGCCAGTGTGGAAATTCCTCAAGGATCTAGAACTAGAAATACCATTTGACCCAGCAATCCCATAACTGCTTATATACCCAAAGGATTATAAATCATTCTAGTATAAAGACACATGCACAGGTATTTTCATTGCAGCACTGTTTACAATAGGAAAGACTTGGAACCAACCCAAATGCCCAGCAATGATAGACTGGATAAAGAAAATGTGGTATATAAACACTACGGAATACTATGCAACCATAAAAAATGAGTTCATGTCTTTTGCAGGGACATGGATGAAGCTAAAAGCCATCATTCTCAGCAAACTAACACAGGAACAGAAAACCAAACACCACATATTCTCACTCATAGGTAGGAGCTGAACAATGAGAACACGTGGACACAGGGAGGGGAACATCACACACTGAGACCTGTCGGGGGTATGGGGGGAAAGGGGAGGGAGAGGATCAGGACAAATATCTAATGCATGTAGGGCTTAAAACCTAGATGACAGGTTGATAGGTGTGGCAAACCACCATGGCATATGTATACCTATGTAACAAACCTACACATTCTGCACATGAAGCCCAGAACTTACAGTAAAATAGAATAAAATAAAATAAAATAAAATAAAAAATAAAGTCACACTGTATGACATAGTTACAATTATTATGTTTCCATTTTTAAAAAATAAAATTTTTTAAAAAGTAAAGAAGATCAAAATGGAACTGATAGCACTGAAAAACTCACTTCAAGAATTTTAGAACACAACCCAAGTCCTAGGGAAGAATCAACAAATCTGAAGGAAGAATCTCAGATTTCCAAGACAGGTTTTCTGAAATAACTTAGGCAAAAGTAAAGAAAAACAACAAACAAAAATGAACAAAACCGGCTGCCGCTGCCGCCGCCGCCGCGCCGCGGCTTGAGGGCGGGAGGCTGGGGGAGGGTAGCGGACCCGGCGCCGCCGCCATGTTGGGTCTGAAGCGGCTGCTGTAGGTGTCGACGGAGCTACCGGGCGTGCGGAGCGGGCGACAGCGGCGTGGGATCTGCCTCTCTGCGAGCAGCCGGGAGCGGCGGCGGCGGCGCCATGAGCGGGGGCACCCCTTACATCGGCAGCAAGATCAGCCTCATCTCCAAGGCGGAGATCCGCTACGAGGGCATCCTCTACACCATCGACACCGAAAACTCCACCGTAGCCCTTGCCAAAGTTCGATCCTTTGGTACAGAAGACAGACCGACAGATCGTCCAATACCACCTCGAGATGAAGTCTTTGAATACATTATATTCCGTGGGAGTGACATTAAAGACCTTACTGTTTGTGAGCCACCAAAACCACAGTGTTCTTTGCCTCAAGACCCAGCTATGGTTCAGTCCTCACTAGGCTCATCGACTTCTTCATTCCAGTCCATGGGTTCTTACGGGCCTTTCGGCAGGATGCCCACATACAGTCAGTTCAGTCCAAGTTCCTTAGTTGGGCAGCAGTTTGGTGCTGTTGGTGTTGCTGGAAACTCTTTGACGTCCTTTGGAACAGAAACATCAAACAGTGGTACCTTACCCCAAAGTAGTGCGGTTGGTTCTGCCTTTACACAGGATTCAAGATCTCTAAAAACACAGTTATCTCAAGGTCGTTCAAGCCCTCAGTTAGACCCTTTGAGAAAAAGCCCAACCATGGAACAAGCATGCAGACCGCCTCTGCCCACTTACCTGTGCCAGCACCTGTTGGGAGAAGGAGTCCTGTATCAACCAGGCCTTTGCCATCTACCAGCCAAAAAGCAATAGAGAATCAGGAGCACAGGCGAGCTGAAGTACACAAAGTTTCAAGGCCAGAAAATGAGCAACTCAGAAATGATAACAAGAGACAAGTAGCTCCAGGTGCTCCTTCAGCTCCAAGGAGAGGGCGTGGGGGTCATCGGGGTGGCAGGGGAAGATTTGGTATTCGGCGAGATGGGCCAATGAAATTTGAGAAAGACTTTGACTTTGAAAGTGCAAATGCACCATTCAACAAGGAAGAGATTGACAGAGAGTTTCATAATAAACTTAAATTAAAAGAAGATAAACTTGAGAAACAGGAGAAGCCTGTAAATGGTGAAGATAAAGGAGACTCAGGAGTTGATACCCAAAACAGTGAAGGAAATGCTGATGAAGAAGATCCACTTGGACCTAATTGCTATTATGACAAAACTAAATCCTTCTTTGATAATATTTCTTGTGATGACAATAGAGAACGAAGACCAACCTGGGCTGAAGAAAGAAGATTAAATGCTGAAACATTTGGAATCCCACTTTGTCCAAATCGTGGCCATGGGGGATACAGAGGCAGAGGAGGTCTTGGTTTCCGTGGTGTCAGAGGACGTGTTGGTGGCAGAGGTGGTACCTTCACTGCCCCTCGAGGATTTCGAGGTGGATTCAGAGGAGGTCGTGGGGGCCGGGAGTTTGCAGATTTTGAATATAGGAAAGACAACAAAGTTGCTGCATAGTCTACAAACAAGTCTCTGAAAATAGGTGAATTTCTAGCTCTTCATGGTCCTGAAAATTGATTTCAGTCTTTGCGAAGAATGAAGAAGTGAATTCGCTGTACATTTGTCACCAGCACTGGGTTTTTGTTTTTTGTTTGTTTTTCTGCTTAATTTCAAAGATAAAATGCAGTTACTTTTGGGGGTGGAAGGCTCATCTTAAAACATGAGCATTAAATCTATTTGGAATAGCAAAAAAAAAAAAAAAAAAAAAATGAACAAAACCTCTGAGAAATATGGAATTATGTAAAGAGACCAAATCTATGAAAATTGGCATTCCTGAAAAACAGGGAGAGAAATCAAGCAACTTGAGAATATCGTCCATGGGAATTTTACTACCCTCACTAGACAGGCCAACATTTAAATTTAGAAAAATGCAGATCTCCCCAGTGAAATACTACACAAGAAGAACATCCCCAAGACAAATAGTCATCAGATTCCCCAAGGTGGAAATGAAAGAAAAAATGTTAAAGGCAGCTAGAGAGAAGGGTCAGGTTACCTAAAAAAGAAAACTCATCAGGCTAACAGTGGACTTTTCAGCAGAAATCTTACAAGCCAGAAAAGATTGGGGGGTCTATATTCAGCATTAATAACAACAAAAAATTACAACCAAGAATTTTATATCCAGCTAAACTAAGCTTCACAAGTGAAGAAGAGATCAGAGTCTTTTCAGACCAGGAAGGGCTCAGGGAATTTGTTACCAGCAAAATTGCCCTATAAGAGGCCCCTAAAAGAGTTCTATATATGAAGAGATCATTACCTGACACTACAAAAACACAATTATGTACGTAAAACAAAACTGGCTAAAGATACAATGACGGGATCAAACCTGCACATATCGATACTAACATTGAATGTCAATGGGCTAAATGCCCGAATTAAAATGCACAGAGTGGTAAATTGTATAGAGAAGCAAAACCCAAAGTTATGCTTTCTTCGTAAGACTCATCTCATATGCAATGACACACATAGGCTTAAAGTGAAGAAACGGAGATCAATTTACCAAACAAGTGGAAAACAGGAAAAGACAGAGGTTGTTATTCTAATTTCAGACAAAGCAGATGATAAACCAACAAAAGCAATAAAGAGAAGAGCATTACATATTGTTATAAGGGTTAATTCAACAAGAAGACCTTTCTTAAATATGCATGCATCCAACATAGGTGCACTCAGATTCAGAATGGAAGTTCTTAGATACCTGGGAATAAACTTAAATGTCCAAAAATTATAGTGGGAAACTTCAACACCCTACTGACACTATTAGATCATTGAAGCAGGAAACAAGCAAATATATTTGGGACTTGAACGTGACACTTGACCAAATGCAACCAATAGACATCTACAGGAGGAAGAGCAAGATGGCAAAATAGAAAACTCTACCAATTGTTCCTCTGCAAAGACACCAGGTTAACAACTATCTATATGCAGAAAAAAAAAAAAAAGAAAAAGAAAAAAGAAAGAAAAGAAACTTCATAAGAACAAAAAATCAGGTGAACACTCATAGTACCTGGTTTTGACCTTATATTGCTGAAAGAGGCACTGAAGAGATAGGAAAAAAAAAAAAAATCCCGCTCAATTGTGGACGCCACACCTTCCCCACCCCCAGAAGTGGTGACCTGTTGGGGAAGCATCTCTGGGCAGTGGGGGAAGCAGAACCTGGAAATTGTAAGGCACTGAACTCACTGGTGCTCTGTTAGAGCAGAAAGAAAAGCCAGACCAAACTCAGCTGATGCCTGCCCACAGAGAGAGCATTTAAATCAGCCCCAGCAAGAGGGGAATCACCAATCCAAGCTATCTGAACATAAGTGTCTGCCATACTGACCACTGAGGGTCAAAGTGCTCTTGGTCACTAAGTAAACTTGAAAAGTATTCTAGGCTATAAGGACTACTGCATGTATTAGGCAAGTCCTAGGACTGAAATTGGCCCAGACACAGTGGAATGGGGAGAACACTTGACATACTAAGACACCAGCTGGGGCAGCCAAGAGAGTACTGGCATTACCCTCCTCTAACTCCAGCTTTACAGCTCAGGGCTCCAAAAGAGACCCCTTTTTCCACTCCAAAATTGACCCCTTCCTTATGCTTGAGGAGAGAAGAGGGAATAGTAGGGAGAACTTTGTCTTGCATCTAGGATACCAGTTCAGTCACAGCAGTATAGGGCACTGGTGAGAATAATGAGGCCCCCATTCCAGGCCCTAGTTCCCAGACGACATTGCTAGTCACACTCTGGGCAAGAAATAAACCTGCTGCCTTGAAGGGAATGCCCGTATCCTAGAAGCATTCATCACCTGCTAACTGAAGAGACTTTGGACCCTGAATAACCATCAGCAATAACCAGGTATTAAAACATCAGCCTTGGTAAGCCTCTGTGGGTTGCTGGCCTCAGGTACCAACACAGTCACAGAGGGGCAGAACACAAAGTGGAAACTTGCATTCCCCCATTCCAGAACTTGACTTTTTGATGGCATTTCTGGACCTACCCTGGGCTAGAGGGCTGCTCACTGCCCTGAATGAGTCCCGGGCAAGGCAGCAGTCACCCAAGCTGACTTAAGAAACCTTTGGCCTGAAGGGAACATCAGTGGTAGTCTGGAAGTAGTCCTCATTGACTGGGATGGTGATGGCTACTTAGCGAGGCTCTTCTGATTTTGCGAAGTAGAGGAAAGAGTAGGAAGAACTGCCTTTTGTGGTTTGAGTGCCAGCTTAGCCACAGTACAACAGGATACCAGACAGAATTCTAAGGTTTTTGGCTCTAGTCACTGACTCCCTGATTGCACTTCTGGAACCACCCAGGGCCTGGTGGACCTTGTCACCCTGGAAGGAAAAACATAATCCTGGCTGGCATTGTCTTTTGTTGATTGTAGAGCCCTAGCAACTTAAGTGAACATAGGCAGTAGCCAGGAAGTGCTTAGAGCAGTCCTAGGTAAAGACCCAGAACCATACTGGCTTCAGGTCTGACCCAGCACACTCACAGTGGTGGTCACCAAAGAAATGCTTGTGTCACTCTACCCTCACTTTTAGGTGACTCAGCACAGAAAAAAGACTTCATTTGTTTAGGAAAAAGTAAGAGAACAATAGTCTCTCCCTAATAATCCAGAGAATTCTCACAGATTTTGTCCAAGATCATCAAAGGGTCTGCAAGAAACACAGTGTTATTGGTCTTGTGGTGCCCCCTAAAGCAGACACGGTTTAGATCACAAAACAGAAATCGTTTTAAATATCAAAAAAAAGCCTTCCCAATGAAGACAGCCACAAATAAACCCATACAATAAAGCGTACAAAAAGTATCTAAATCTTCAATACTCAGGCACTGAAAAACGTCTACAAACATCAACACCATCCAGGAAAACATGACCTCACCAAATAAACTAAATAAGGAACAAAAAAATCCAATCCTGGGGAGATAGAGATATGTGACATTTCAGAAAGAGAATTCAAAATAGTTGTTTTGAGGAAACTCAAAGAAATTCAAGGTAACAGAGAGAAGGAATTCAGAATTATATCTGATACATTGAAAAAGATTGAAATAATCAAAAAGAGTCAAGCAGAAGTTCTGGAGCTGAACAGTGCAACTAACATACTGAAGAATACATCAGAGTTATTTAATAACAAATTGGATCAGGCAGAAGAAAGAATTAGTGAGCTAAAAAATAGGTTATTTTCAAATACACAGTCAAAGATAAAAGAAAAAAGAATAGAAAAACAATAAAGCACAAACGAGATATAGAAAATCACCTCAAAAAGGCAAATTTAAAACTTATTTGCCTTAAAAATGAGGTAGAGAAAGACATAGGGGTAGAAAATTAATTCAAATATATAATAACAGAGCAATACCTAAACCTAGAGAAAGATATCAGTGTCCAAGTCCAAGGAGGTTTTAGAACATCAAGGAGATTTAACCCAAACAACACTACCTCAAGGCATTTAATAATTGAACTCCCAAATATCGAGTATAAAGAAAGGATCCTAAAAGCAACAAGAGAAAAGAAACAAATAACATACAATGGAGCTCCAGTAAGGTTGACAACAGCCTTTTTAGTGGAAACCTTACAGACTAGGAGAGTAGAACGACGTATTTAAAGTGCTGAAGGAGGCTGGGTGTGGTGACTCAGGCCTGTAATTCCAGTACTTTGGGAGGCTGACACAGGTGGACCACCTGAGGACAGGAGTTCAAGACCAACCTGGTCAACATGGCAAAACCCCATCTCCACTTAAAAGAAAAAAAAAAAATAAGCTAGACGTGGTCACAGGCACCTGTAATCCCAGCTACTATGGAGGCTGAGACATGAGAATCACTTAAACCCAGGAAGCAGAGGTTGCAGTAAACTGAGATCACACCGCTACACCCCAGCCTGGGTGACAGAGCAAGACTCCATTTCATTAAGTAAGTAAATAAATAAATAAATAAAGCACTGATGGGAAAAAAAAAAAAAAAAAAAAAACTCCCCTAGATTATTATTATATCTGATGTATTTACTGCTGAATTCTATCAAACATTTTAAGAACCAGGACCAATCCTAATCAAACTATTCTGAAAAATAGAGGAGGATAGAATACTTCCAAACTCATTCTAAGAGGCTTCAGCATTAAGCTGGTACCAAAAGAAGACAAAGATACATCAAAAAAAGAAAACTACAGGCCAATATATCTGGTAAATATTGATGCAAACTTTCTCAACAAAATGCTAGAAAACCAAGTTCAACAATACATTACAAAATCATTCATTAGGTATATCTCCTAATGCTATCCCTCTTGGCACATGTATACATATGTAACAAACCTGCGTGTTGTGCACATGTACCCTAGAACTTAAAGTATAATAATAAAAAAATAATAACAACAACAAAAAAGGAAAATCATTCATTACTACCAAGTGGGATCTACCCCTAAGACACAAGTGTGTATGCACAAATCAATCAATGTGACATATTTTATGAACAGAATGCAGGATTAAAACTATGTGAACATTTCAATTGATGCTGCAAAAGCATTTGATAAAATTCTGCATCCATTCATGATAAAAACCCTAAAAACATAGGTATAGAAGGAACATACTTCAACATAGCAAAATCCGTGTAAGACAAACCCACAGCTAGTATCATACTAAATGGGGAAAAACGGAAATCCTTTCCTCTGATATCTGAAACACAACAAAGATGCCCACTTTTACTATTAGTTTACTATTACTCAGTATAGTACTGAAAGTCTTAGCTAGAGC